ACACAAAGGGCACCGGAGATATGGCCATGTACGTGATGAAGAGATCTATCTTTACCAATGAAGCAAACATGCGTCACTTTCACTCTGATGTAACTGCTTATTTTATACAAACCAAAGGGATTTTGAGCGAAACCAAAGTGTTTATGTGAGATAAGGTAATTCATTGAAAGAGTGCGCTAAAGAAAGAATCGCGCTTGGCCACATTCTTGCCTCATTAGGGCTCTCCTTTACTTTCCCTTAATTATGTCTCCTCCTATCTTCTAAGTCAGCTGTACAAAACATCCCTTTTCATTCAACAAAATCCAGTATGACGGGTTGCAATATAATTTGGTGTTCTTTCTAAAGTGGCTCTCTTCTCTCCATGTAACCCTTTTCTGGCACAGGCAACAGTGCAGGTACTAAACGGTCTTCAATGCTTCATACAATTCATCTAATTGGTCTTGCTGAAATGCAGTGGAAAGTTGTGCAAATAGTTTGACCAGAGCAGTAAAGCTAGGCTTAAATCGCATCATCCTCATGTATCACAACGCATATTGGTCATGTGTTGGCAGCATAGAGTCTTGCGAACAAACGGTTTTAACAGTTATTAGCAACCGCATTGTTCATGGCCCCAAAAGGTATCAAGACATCATGCCAAATCGTGCTCTGTGCACAATGACGAAGGGCTTGTCTGCATGTCGGACTGGAACATTTGATGACGAAGTAGGTGCAAACGTAACCAAATGCAGAAGATCGAGGGATCCCTCAGCAGCGAAACAGCACTCTGTGTCTCCTCCTGTGTACGTCGTGCAGAACCTGGGCAGCCCACATTAGTGCAAGAATATTGCGCCAGTGCATTACACAAGTATTACATGTTCCTATCTACATAAATAGAACCCAGTGCTTTTACCTTTTGCCAAGCGCTCCATTTGACCTGCAGTATTCAATACACTCTGTTCCATAAAATGGCAGAAGAAATGCCACTGTAAAAGGAGTTAAAAGCTTTTATAGCTGCGATCATAATCGATGATAAATCTTTGCTTTTTGCCTTCTGACAGTCTTTATGCTGACACAACTGTTTGCCCCCAGCGCCGCATGCGAGAAGTCCTGAGTTTCCTGCTCGAACATCGAGTCGTGTCACAAACGGCGTTTGGATTATAAGCAGAAAAGTAGATGTAGATTGCTTTGCAGCCACATTGTCTTATTAAAATAACGAACCATCTGGCCACTGGTAAATCGTGTCTTCTGACACCCTGATTGTGAAGGTGGTTATGATGCAGCCATATTTATAATGTAGTTACAAATACATTAAGGAAGCTGATACCTAAGCATTGCCTCCCACATTACTCACTTGGCGTAGGTGTGGTGGAAAGAGAGCGGGAGTGTAAAGAGGACTTTCACCCGACTCAAAGGCTATGAGAGCACCACGATTCTTGAGACTGATGCCTGTTCTTAAAGGAAACCGATTGGAAAATACGGCTACATCGCCTCGGCTGAGATGTTTGTGGGTGTTTGTGAAGATGCATTTGTAACGACAACCATTGGAAGTGGTTAAATGATAGAGAAACTGTCGATCGTAGTAGATCTTTGGTGGATTTGTCGATGGGAAGTCAGTCTGAAGTTAAAAATATACATTCGTTTTAAGGCAATAATTTGCATCATTTAAAGTCATTGCAAAACATGCATATAGACATATGCACGGAATACTTTCCAAATGTATGGGATTTACAAATTATGAAAGTGCAGCAATTCGCATCCTGAGGTAAGCATGTGAGAGAAGCAGACGTATGGTCTAGAACATCATGATTTTCCTCCACCTGTGCAATTGACTTTGTAGCTTTGAGCACTTGAGAGCCACTAACAATAGTTCCAGCTCCAAAAATGAAATGAATTCGTCCATTGCTATTTTTGAGCAATTTGGGAATTTAGTTTAACCATTGGCAAATAATATTGTGAGAGAAATTGATACTGTTGAGATTAGTGGGTACTTTCAACCATCAATTCGGTTAGGCAAAAGTGAAATCGATTTTACTATGTGAGCTTAAAAGAAAATGTGAGCTATTATCTGTTTAAACAACGGTACACATGTTCGCTGCTAAACTCTTATCAAACACGATTTTCTTAATTGGGAGTTAACTAGGAGAATGAACACCTTTATCAAGTTGTCTGATTTGATGCCCCCTAAAATGAAGCTCCTATTGGGATGCGCAAAATGGAATGCGAATTATGTCCTTTTTTGGACTATTCAATGAAGAAATAAAAGTGAAAAGGCACAGCAGAACATACTTTGTTTGTTGCAATTTCTGTTATCCAGTCCATTTGATCGATTACATGGTGATAGGGGAATAAATTTGTAGGTCTGAAGGAGGAGTCAAAGGGTAAAAACTCCCTTAACGGCCGCAATTCCCCCTTCAAAACGGCATTTTGATCGATCCTCAGCAATATCAAAGCCACAGTAGCTGAAACGAGAGACAATATAAACAGCCTAGCCTTGTTCATTATTGAAGTTTTTCCAATGTGGCGAAATCGTTGCGTTTGTGTACCTACCTATCAAGGTGTGATGAGATGGAACATGAAACTTGATTGGCTGAACTCATAGCGAGTACCTCACTGTGTGCAATTTCATATTTAAGCGATCCAATTGGTTATGAAACATTGCACACTGATATAAATCTGAGAAGTTAATATCCTGACGACCGTTAGAGAAATGTGATGCAAGTAGCACGACAGACACCGTGAGAAGAGGCCTATAAACCACAGACCCTAAAGCACTTACACTTAAAACGACTATTAATCCGCTTGCTTTAGCTACAACAAACTGCTACTGCATATGCATAGAAGCATGGGCACACAACACGAGGTAGGATTTTGGTGCATGTGCTGCACAAGCCATGGGTGACAGTCGATATGCCTATATGTGATTTCATTCACATTATAGCATATTGACTCGCCTTAGAGATAAAGGAATATTCACATTCTCGATTTTACGTGGTAGGTGTATTTACCTATTACATACCTACTTGTTTTATTTGACTTGGAAGTTTGACATATAATTCGTAGCTAATTTGCCTTAACAACATTGAATATCCCAAACACTTCAATGCCGCTTATGCACGATGCGAGACTAAGGGTATTTGCATGTCGTTTCAGCATTCAGTCTATCACCTATGCTGGTGGGTTTTATGCCATTTATTCAATCATTCAATCATTGCACGTTTTGCGTAGACTCCATATAATTCCCATTTTGTTAGGCGCCTTCGAGAACGACTGTAAAAATGCATTGCCTCCACGCCCGCATATCAATGCTGATGACTGCAAGTCACTTTCTTGAAATGACCAGCATTTGCTCCATTTGTACGGGTGAAGCATTGGAGAATTTGACTGGATCCGTTTGGTGCCTGCATCACCATTAAGTGCATGTACGTGATTAACCGATTCTTTCCATGATATTAATATAATAACCAATGGTTTAGGTAAAGAATTTGTAGAAGGGCAAACAGGATTTCTCCATAATTTACCAAGCATAGTTACAAAATGGGATCATTAATTTTAGCTACATGTGTGCTGCCCACAAACTGGGCATTCCTAAGTCATCCTGTCACGGAAATCATGCCACCGCATTCGCGCCAATGTAACATATGACGTGCACACCAGTCATCATTCAAGTATCACCACGGACTTTTAAAGGACAAGGGATTCCTCCACGTGTGATGCAAATCACAAACCACAAGTAAATGTGAGGTATGAGATAACTGTTATCTAAAGTGGATTTGGGTATGTACCCAAAAAACGTGGCATGTAGGCCACTGCAACTATTGTGCTTAATATTAGATGGCTTTTCAGTTTATTGCACTAAAATTCTTGTGCATGATGTCCTGCTATCGAGTTTATTATGCTCTTTTTCTTTCTCTAACTCCTCAGCACTTCACCATTCAGTTACGTTTTACCCTCACACTATGGGAGTAACCCTGCTACGCTGTGACAAGTACGTATCTATCCATGGTGCATGCACCGGATGAGGCCATTTTATTCCACTTTCCATTCCTCTTTTCCTACTAATCAGGAAGTGAGATATGACCATCACATCATTGTAACAGGAATTGATTTCAAATCAAGTTTAGTGAGAAGATTGGCCAGGCAGAGAAGGTGAAGGCCGTGTCTACTGAAGCAATGGGCGAGATATGGTATGTGTTGGTAGAAAGGAAAATAACCACATGGTGATGTAAGGAACAACTCTTCACTGTCACACTAGATCCCTTAATTCAGGCGTTGTATGAGACACTCGACGCTATTGGCGTTTGTACTATTGTATCAATGTTGCTACCTCTGACGGCACTGCATCATGTATGAGCTTATAAGTATCTTGTCAAGGGTACGTGGAAGGGTTAAGATGTTAGCACATTAGGTGGTACAAGCAAAATTCGTGCTGTCATATGGCAGCTGAATCGGAAGAGGACAAACGTGTTGGCGAAGTAGTGTATAAAGGTAGCTTACTATTCGACAAATAAAGTTGTCATCAGCAGAGCAAGGAGAAGTATTGCATACTAAATGATCTGTAATTAGGAGTAGGTTGCAAATGTGCTATTAATTTTCGAGACACTAGTGAACTTCTTTGCGAGTCGAAAAACAATGGGATTGCTGATGTCACACGCGCATGGGATTTATGAAAGAAATGTTGTTAGCACTCCTGATCA